CATAATTATGATAAGATAATTATTTAGAAACTTAAACAATGCTTAAGGTCTCTTTTATGATGAAAAGTGCAGATACCGGTTCTGCTTCGCGGTATAAATGTGTATAAGTGAACTATCCTGAAAAATTATAATAAAAATATAAATATTCCTAAACAATATCTAGGTCAAGGATATCAAGTTTGGAGTAAGAATAATGAGTGTTGATGTCAGAACTAATACTGGCTACGTATAAACACGTACTGGCAAAGTGCTACGAAAATTATAATAAAAATATGATAATTCCTAGAAAAATGTTCAGGTTCGGAATATTAAGTTTGGGAGTAAAATAATTAAAGGAGCTATTAGAACTAATATTGTGGATTAGTGGGCATACTTATATAAATAGCCATTGCACATAAACCTAGGCCAGTTTTCTGATTTTCTGTGTAGATTCTTCATGTGTTATTGGCTACCACCTTCTCCTACACTACCCATAGCTCTCCTTGCAAGAAAATAAATACCAAGACACCACCTTTAGTCTTGATTCTTCCTCTTCCACCTTGTAAACACTTGAGAGGGAGCCTTGTGAGTGAGAGAGCCACCATCTTTGTGGGTTGTAGCCTCTGTTTTAAGGGGTTGGTGACTAACTTCTTGGTGTGAGGTAGTGGAAGTCATTTCCCTTGCACTTGATGCTTCAAGAAGCTATCTTTTGGTGTAAAGGACCAAGCTTGTGAGACAAATTCGTGGCCTAGTGGTGACAAAACTGTAGAATGGTGTGCGGAGCTCCAAGATCACCTCTTTTCTTCTGTTTTAAGCCTTAGGTACATTCTACACCTTTGTTCTTGAGTTTTTATTGAAAATAATGAGCCTTGATGCATGTAATAAGAGAAAGTTGGTAACCTAAGTGTAAAAATGGTATAACACACCTAAAAATGCATGCTTGAACGCCTGGAAGTGTTAAAAATGGAACCTTGAAGGGATATCTTAGCGAAAATGCAAAACTGCATTCTGTCGCGAAATATTCGGATATGATATCCGGATATTGACCCTGTGATATCCGGATATTGATATCCGGATATGCCCCTGAGGAATATCCTGATATTCTGGGAAAAATCATGTTTTGAGCTATTTTACCCAAACAGAAGCGTGGGTTAGGTTTTTGGACCCTTGATTGGTTAGAATAGAACTATGTAATGATCTAACTAAGTCTGAACCAATAATATTGAATGCCTATGGCTTTGAAAGAAGCCTACAATCATTAAACGAAAAAGGAAATGTTGTCGTTATGTATTGAAATTATAGACTATGAATATTAATGATATTTCTGGTATAAACAGACTGTGATTGTGCTGTTTGCTGACCCGTGAACTTGTGTGGACTTCTAGTTGGTAATACTAGGTTGACAAGTAAGCTTTCATGTCCTCGATTTTATCCATTGATAGTTCCATCATACCTCATGGAGGGGTGGTTATATGCATGATATGTTTTCTGAAAATATGTGAAGATTATTGATATGTTGTTGAGTTATTTTATGAGTGCAAATGCCATATGTTATATATGTGGGGTGTTCCACCCTAGACGGTAATCCTTGAGTATATGAGGCACGTATAAGATGGTAACTCTGTGAGTGAGGTACAAGAGAGGAGCCTTGTACTGCGGGTTGCAGATGCGTAATCCCTACCTTTTATTCTCTGGCCAGTAGGATGCATACACACATGACATAGACATATGCTGCATTGCATGGGTATTTGACATTATACTGTTATTATCATTTTCATGTAAGTGTGCTTGGGGTGGAGAGATCCTTGAGGACCCCTTGTCTTACTGAGATTTCTTGTTAGAGATCTCACCCCGTGTGGGGTACATTTTCAGGTACAAGTACCTTCGAGGTTGAGACCTCTGGCGGCAAAAAGCCAGAGTTGAGCTGATATGATGCATGTTTCCTTATTGCCATATTTTCATATGATTATGCCTGATTATTATTATATGGCTTTGGTACTTGAGACATGATTGACTATGTTGTTCTATTTGGTGCATGGGGTTTTTTCATGCCACATTGGTATAAGCTATGTTTATTTCAGACCTGAGTTGTAATATTGTATCAGGATATTGTCTGGTCTACATGTTGTAGTTCCATGACTTGATACTTATCTATGTTATGAGGTTATTCAGTGTAGTTAATTATTGCAATTTACATACAGGCGATATTTTGAAAAGAATAAGTAAATCCACTTGGTTAATATGTTAAGTTTCATAATTGGAAAATTTTAGCTTCCACATTTATTGAGCTACGCTATTACCATTTATATGTTTATTATACCGGGTGCACACGGGGTGTTACAACAACGATCAGGTGGAACGATACTGTGCATGATTGGTGGTTAAAGAATATGCTCGAAAAGAAGGTATTGATTTCAATAAGATATTCTCTCTTGTTGTAAAACTTACCATTATCAAAGCATTACTCGCTATATATGCTACATTCAGGTTACATATTAAGCAAATAGATATAAAAACTATTTTTCTTCATAGAGAACTTTAAGAAGAGAGAGATATATATACTCCAACCAGAAGGCTTTGAGGGGGAAAAAACTTGGTTTGCAGGTTAACCAAATCTCTGTACGGACTAAAACAGGCGCTAAAATGTACTATGCACAAGAGTTTGATTCCTTTATAGTTTACCTTGGATACAATAGACTCAGTTCAGACATTGTACATATTACAAGAGGTTTTGTAAAGTAATTACATCATTCGGCAATATATTGTATGTGGAAGACATGGTGATGGTCGGCCCCAACAAAGATCAAATCTAAGAATTGAAGCCATAGTTGGCTAGGGAGTTTGAAATGAAAGACTTAGGACCCAAGATTTTAGGGATGTAAATTCACTGAGACATAAATTATAAGAAGATTTGTCTTTCAAAAATGAATTATGTAAAGAAAATCTTAAGGAGCTTCAACATCTAAGATTGTAAGCCAATTTCTACCCTACTACCTATCAACTACAAATTATCGTCAAGTATGAGTCCTAGCAATAAAGTGAAGGTGATGGAAATGTCTAGAGTATTGTATACATTAATGGTGGGTAGTCTTATGTATGTAATGATTTGTATAAGACCAGATATTGCTAAAACTTCTGCTATGGTCAATCGATTCATGAAAAATCTTGGTAAAGAGTATTGGAATACTGTCAAGAAGATCCTAAGATATATAAAAGGAATCTCACACGCTGCATTATGTTATGAAGGATCATACTTATTATCAAAGTATATGTTGATTCGGACTTTGTAGGTGATCTTGATAAAAGAAAATCTATTGCAAGTTATGTGTTTACACTTGCAGGAGGAGTCGTAAGTCGATTATCCAAATTATAGACTGTGGTAGCTCTCTCTACTGCAGAACTCGAATATATGGCAACTATTCAAGCTTGTAAGGTAGAAATTTAGATTTAAAGGTTAATAGAAGAACTCGAGCACAAACAACAATCAATTATTATGTATTGTGACAATCGGAATGCCTTGAACATTGCAAGGTATCCATCCTTTTATTCAAGGACAAAGCACATAGGAGTACAATATCACTTTATTATAGAAGTAGTAGAGGAAGGGAGTGTGGATATGTAAAATATTCACACCAAAGAAAATATGGCAAATGTTATAACAAAACCAATCAATGCTGATAAGTTTATAAGGTGTCGATCTTCGCATGGTCTATCTGAAACGTAATTAGCATGGAACTGACAAGAAAAGAAAGATTTTGAACGCTCGCTAAAAGTGATTTTAAGTGAGAGATAGACGTAAGCCACAATGTATGTGACAACCACTTTCGGTCGCGGTGGCTGAAATTGAAAATCTTGTGCAATCAATATGAACAAGTTGCTATAACAACACGAAAATGCATAAACTATAGGCTGGCTTGTAAGATTTTTTAGCTTATAAACAGAGGCCTTCAACATAGTTTAATGCATCCCAACTTAGAGAGAAAACATCAAGTGTCTTTTGAGTGTTATTTTGGGTGAATGAGTCTTCTCCTAATATAAGAGAGAGAGATATTGTTTTTTCCTTGTAGTGAGAGTGAGGTTGTAACTTCTTCCACACAATAAAAATCTTCTTTGATCTTGCTTGTAATTTTTCCCAATTGGGTTTTCCACATAAATCTTGTATGTCACTTCAATTAGTGTATTTATTGATCTCTTGATCGATGGAATTAAAGTTAATTATATCGTTAGTGTCAAAAAAATGTAATTAAAAGGCATAGCCTTAAATTTAATGGTTATTTAATTAGTCATTGTTGCAATTGTATGGAGAGACTTTCTTTTGCACTTATTTGGTCAATTAGTGTGATTAACAGTGTCTTAACATTCATATTTCTCTTAACTCTATTTTAGTTGTATGATATTTTGTTACCTACAGATTTTATCTTCACAAATTTTAAAGTGGACTTGTTTGGATAGTTAAGAAAAAGGCATAAGCTAATGATTTATACAGGAGATTTGCGAAGGAAAAAGTATATAGGAGTATCATTTGTTCAATTATAACAATAATATTATTTTCAATGACTTGGTTCAATGCCGAGTGGAGTGGGGTTGGTGTGGTCCAGTTCCAATACGTGAGAAATAAGGGAGCCACTTTAGTATTATTGAAAAGCAAATCTTCAACGCTTGAAAATCAGAATTGAACAGGTAAATTCCACCACCATTCACCATATAATTAATGGTCAAACATTTTGGCTCACTCCCACTTCATGCTTCCGATTCTCCAATAATCCCATTGACAAGTATTCAAATTGGTCAACCATTCGATCCAAAACCCACTACCAAACAAGGTTCATGAACCTTACTTCTTGATTCACCTTTCCCTGCATATAAGTCTTCACAAAGCACAAGTTATTCCAAGCCCAAAACAAGAGCCTTAATTAGGAAACAAACACAAGCATAGCTTTCTTCCAATTTTATTTTTTTTATTCATAGCTTAATATATCATAAAGAGAAATGCAGATAGCCCTTCAGAATCAAACCAAAGGAAAGCCACAGCTTCCACCAAAGATGTCAAGTTACGGATACAAAAGAGGAGAGCTCTGTGTTGGTCACAAAAATGGTTACTTGGCCATGTCACCCAGGTCCAGACCGGCCTGCGCATGCTCAAACCGGCCCGGTTCGGTTCGGTGTACTCGTTGTGGGTATGTAGTACCAGGGGAGAGGTTGAAAATGCCTCAGGGAAACAAAGAGCTGTTGAGAAGGGCTCTGACTCCACCACCAACACGACGGATAGGCCTTAGATGGTTGAATTTCAGACCAACCCCAAGCAGGCTCTCTAGCATGTCCATGGCTTGATTTTCTTTCCCTTTTTTTTTTTCGTTTTGTTTTTGGCATAAAAATCCGATTTTGTTGATGTTTGATAATTGTACAATTGAGATTTAAGATGGTTCTCTAATAATTATTTTTACCCTTCTTCTAAAATTTTACCTCTGCAATCGGGTAATTAATTTAAAAGAGGGTGAGTATGAAAAAGTGATAAAATTATTCTTTTGTGATTGTGATTAAAAAAGTACTGGTTCAAATGAGGAGTCGTTTGGTTCGTTCTTTCTGTCTTTAAAAGTGTACATATACGCAGATTTCATGGGTGATACAGGATGGTAATTTGTATATACTTTTAGCTAAAATGACGCTAGTAACTTATAACAGAATCTCTATTTCTAGGAGCATTTGATTTCTAATGCTTCATAAATTTGTGTGTTGAAAATATCATATGTGCTCTACCCTTGTTAGACTTGCCTTCTAGTTTAAGTTGGGGACGAGAACCTTTTGGTTGCTGATGTCATACATCAATTTAATTTGAACTGGCAATGGGCTTGTATATTAGGCAAGATATAAAGAGAGGATCTATTGATATAAACGAGCATGTTCAAACTCGGAATGCACATAAAAAATGGTTTTTTATTTATTCATTTTTGTATGTTGCATAATACATTGTAGTTTCTCAATGTCAAGTTAAACATATAAATCTAGTATAATTTGAAAGAATAATGCCACGTGTATATACTTTTACACACATTGCAATGACCCAAAATAAAAAATTAAAACAACGGAGTCACAATCAAATTTATTTATTTTAAAAAAAATTTAAAAAAAATTATTACAAACTGATCTTTAAAATTATAAATCAAAGGTTCGGGAGTCCAATTATGAGCAGGGAATGGTAGAAACTTAATCACACTGCACCCCTAACATATCCGTTTAAAAACGATTACCTTAAATTAATTGTGCGAATTATTAATAGCTTTTAAAATATTTGTTTTGCCCCTTCAAAAATAAATATGATTACTTAGTAAGAAGAAAAATAATTTATTAAACTTTATTTTAACTTGATGGAAAGAGTTCCGCTCCGACGTATTCTCGGGTTCAGTGAGAAATTCAAAGCTACGTCGTTCTTACAAAATATTTATGTACTAGTTGGTTTTAATTTTTGAAAATAATTTTAAAGAAATTCATTTTAAAGGCGTCGAATTATCAAGTTGTCATAACTAAAATAACCCAAAAAATACTATAAGATTAACAAGCCGTCACGGCTAAATTAACCCTTAATTAGGAAAATAAATAAATAAATACAAAATAATAATTTAAAACTAGCTTGGGTGATCAAGTTGTCGCAGCCAAAATGATCCAAAAAATTATGAGATTAACAAGCCGTCACAGCAAAATTAATCCCTAATTAAGTTTCTAAACCTCATAAGAAAACTTCTAATAAAACAAATAAAGAGCACAAAAACATACAAAATTATAATAAAATTTCTAATAAAACAAATAAAGACCATGAAAAAAAGCATGAAAAAAAATAGACAATCATAAATAAAAAAAACAAATAAAGAGCATAAAAAACAGACAACTATAAACTAAAAAAGCAAATAAAGAGTATGAAAAAAGCACACTACACAATTATTAACTAAAAGAGAAGGTAAGCAGACGTACCTCAAGGATAACAAAACTTGGTGTACGGAGCCAAGTTGGCGAGAGCTGCCTCAAGTCAACAAGCTTGATGCCCCAAAAATGTACTATGAGATTAACAAGTTATCACGGCTAAATTAATCCTCACAGATAACTAAGTTAACAAGTCGTCATGACTAAATTAACAAAATCCCCTAATTCTACTAAAAAAAAATTTTTACTAATACTAGCTTGGTTTTAATCCCAAAACCAAGTATCTTTAAAAAATATTACTATGACACAAGCTTTAATATAAAGCCCAAGTGTCTTCTTTTAACTCTTGGAAGAGTCTTTTTTGTATTTTTTTGGTTTGATTCTCTCTAAGTGTATGTGTTGGAAGGAAGGGGAATGGGCTCTTTATATAGAGGGAAGGGAGGAGGAAGGATTGAGAAGTGGGCAATGTGCGACTTCTTAGGAAAACTATTTTTCTCAATGTTGACAACCATATTTTGACAACCATATCTCACACTAGATAACTTAGCTTGAAAATTGGTTTGGTCGGATTGAACTATCATATGAGAAGAATATGCCGACCAAATTTGAGGATGATCCAACGATTCAATTGAGATAAATAGCTCTGGAAAATTGCTACCTGAAACAGTGTGTTGGTCTCAAAAACGGACAGCCCTTTTCGACATTTATATTTCACACCAAAGAACTCAGTTTAGAAATTCGTCCGGTCATATTGTAATATTACATGAGAGGAATAAACTGACAAAATTTGAGGACGATCCAAAGGTTCATTTGGGATAAATGACCCTCACAAAATTGCTGCTCATTGTAGAAATGTCCAGGAGAACTGTTCTGGTTTTGAATTTTCTGGGAATGATATATACATCGAATCAAGAAATCCATCGGTCAATATGAAGGACAATGAGTCCAGATCTTGCTAAAAACATTTCAGCTTGATCGGACGGTGGATGAAGGATATATCGCGGCTGGAACAGGTCTTACTCAAAGCTATTGGCCCTCCTTCCCTTTTCCATCTATTTGATTGCTCTCTTCCTTTTTCCTTACTGAAGGACAAAAATATGTGTTCATAACTTAAATTTTTTTCTTTTCTTCTTATTTTTTATTTTTTGTATTTTTTGTCATTTTTAAATATTTGGGACAAAATTGTGTGTTCACAGTTGCCCCTCTTTATTTGTTTCTTACTTGGTAATATGACAAATCATAGTTGACATATTATCATTGTAAGAAACAAATAAAGACATGAATCCTAATTTTGTTCAAAAACAACAGAAAACATATACGGGTGAGATGCAATCTAAAAATTAAAAACAGTGAGCCTCTAAGCTCAAAAACAGATGACATGAATTTTGGATGTAAATCCTAAGCCTTTGAGCCTGAAGATCAAATGTTTGAATTCATCCGGGTATGAAAAAGGAAATATGGAATCAACTGGATAAGGACACACAACTCGAAAAGAAAATTTTTGTAACAAACTTGATATGGGTTGACAAATTGAGTGGAAAAGAAATATTTGAAACCAACTGGATATGGGATCTCAAATAGAAAAAAAAAAATGTTTGTAGCCAACTGGATTTGGGTTCACAAACGGACAGAGCATAAAATCTGCAACCAATTGGATATAGGTTGACAATAAGAAAATAAAGAGACTTCTGCAACCAACTGCATATGGGTTGACAAAAGGAAAATAAAGAGACTTCTGCAACCAACTGGATATGGGTTGACAAGATGAAAATAAAAAGACTTATGCAACTAACTAAATATAGGTTGACAACAGGAAAATAGAGAAACTTCTACAACCAACTGGATATGGGTTGATAAGAAGAAAAATAAAGAGACTTATGCAACCAATTGGATCTGGTTTCCCAAACGAACTGAAAAGTAAATCCATCCTCCAAAGCAGGTGGCAAGCAACTCCAGATTTTCTGTATAGTATTTTTAGGTAGCCAAGTCCGCAGTAGCTCAACTTGCCAATTGTCATTGTCATCCACATAATCATACACACATTTGTGGGCTTCTTCTTACAGGACAGGATTAATAATTTTGTCAATCAAGGGCTGAAGTCCCTGTGCCTACCTATCCTTCCAAAAAACAAGAACTACCATCTCCAATCTCCCAAATGACCTTGTTTTCCATAAACAGCCAAACCCGATAGAGAGCTGACCATAGCTGGGAACAACCAGCCCTGTCAGTGAATGTAGAGACGCCAACCCCGCTGCCCATGTATTTTCCTTTTAGGAATCTAACCCACAAAGAGTCTGCTTCATTATGGAATCGCAACGCCAACTTTGAAAGGAAAACATCGTTCATAACTTTATGCAGCTTCAGTCCCAGCCCCCCAAACTTGTTTCGCAATGTTAAGGTATTCCATCCAACCACATAATGCCTACGGGCAGTCTCACTATCAGCCCAAGATAAATCTCCTCTGAATCTTTTCAATTTCATCACAGATGGCCACAGGGAGCTTATCATGCTGCATATGAAAGTAAGGGATCGAAGATAAAACGGATTAGGATAGCATAATCTTGCCTGCTTGTGATAAAGTATATTGCTGCCAACCCCAAGCTTGTATTTAACTTTATCAATAATGTGCTTATAGTGTTGTTTGGTTGTGTGCCCTTGTATCATCCAAACACCCAAATATCTCCCAACATTGTGCACCTGTTTGAAGCTGCATCTCTCAATAACGTTCTTCTCAAGGTGCTCTGACGTGTTCTTGGAGAAGAAGACACTAGTCTTCTGAACACTCAATTTCAATCCTGATATCTCCTCAAATAAATTGATTCATTTCAACACCATTTCCATCTGGGGAAGCGATACCTCCACAAATAGCATTAGATCGTCAACAAACATTAGATGGCAGACTGGGGGCCCACCTCTACCTACCTTAATAGGATGCCAAAGATTCCCAGCCATTACTGTATTGATGATATGACTCAGCTTCTCCATTGCCAACACAGAAAGATAAGGCGACAAGGGGTCCCCTTGATGAACACCCTTGGCCGAGTTAAAGTTAGACGTCTGGCCACCATTCCACAATACATTTTCCACAATAAACTAATAGAGGAAGAGGTAACAACATTCATAATATGCTCACCAAAGTGATTGGGTAACCGGATCTCCCAGAGGATATTCTTTAAGAAATTCCAGTTCAATTGGTCATAGGCTTTCTCCAAGTCCACTTTAATTGCCATAAAAGGGCACTTGCAATGCATCTTGTGCATACAGTGAATTAGTTCCTGCACAATGATAATATTATCATGAATATGCTATTTTGGGACGAAGCTCACTTGGTAGGGAGAAATGAGTTGCTCCATAATGGGTTTGAGCCTGTTTACTAGTAGCTTACTCAGTAACTTGTACAGAACCGCGCAGAGAGATATTGGACAAAATTGACTCGTCTGAGATGACGTTGTCTGCTTCGGTATTAACACTAGTAGATTATAGTTGATATGTCGGATGGACTCAGGATGATGCCACATTTCCCAAATACAAGCACATATTTGATCTTGTAATCTATCCCAGATCCTTTGAAAAATATAGCTGGGTAGCCATCTCGCCTTGGTGCCTTATATGCTCCCATATCAAATAAGTAGTTCCTAATTTCCAATACTAAAGGCAACCCGGACAAAAGATTAAGGTTGATCTGGGCAAGCACAGGCCACATGCTATCTGAGGAGAGATCCACCTTCTGTATTCCACATCTTCGAGAAAGAGATTGTTATAGAAGGAACATGCCAAATCACGAAGACGTTGAAGGTCCTATACCCAACTATTAGTGTTATCCTGTAGTCGGACAATCTCGTTTACACTCCTGTTGGCTATAGTTTTCATATGGTAGAATCTCATGCTCCGATCCCCATCAACAATCCACTTTCGTCGAGATTTCTGAAACCATAATCGTTCCTCCCTGTCAAAAACCATGTTCAACTTCCCCAGGCAATCATTCTCTAATTAGTGAAGACCGGCATTAGAGAGGCCAATTAGAATACATGAGAGGCACCTCAAGCCGAAGTATTAGCTATAAAACGATAGTTCAGGTGCTAAATTTTATAATTGAAATACAAAATCGCCATTCTTGTTAATGCTTTTTCCTTTGTTTTTATGGTAAAATACAGGTCAGAGAGAATTTCTATGGTTTCCTCTAGGCATTATTGTCTTCGAAGTCGGCTTTGAGAAACTCTTAAAAACCATTTTGATTTCCAAGTGACACGTATCAGTGCCAACTCCAAGGCATTCCCAATGGGCTAGACTCATATTTTATAAAGGGATTGGAGATAGAAATCAAAACATTCCTAGGTCGCTCAAAATTTAAAGCATAATAAGAAGTTTAATGTTGGGTACGACTCATACTTCGCATGCTGATGAGGGCCCTTGTTGTCGAGATCAGCAGAAAGGCAACAGGGGTCCTGCTCCAAAGTGAGCAAGCCAGGGGTACGGGGGCGCTGCCTCGTCGGGGGTCCGTAGAGGCTAGGTATTGTTGTAGGCCTCTGATATATTGTAATTTTTTTCTTTTCTTAGTATATTGGGCTTGGGCCCATGAATAGCTACTGTTAGAATTTTTCTAATCCTATTTGTATTATCCTTGTAAACTAAGTGACTTGTAACGAGTGGCGGTGAGGTGAATATAGTACAGACAGGTTGGACGTAGCCTATATTGAGTTGGCCTCTGATCGATTTTCAAAATTTCTGTCAGGCGAGTCCAGGGGAAGCCCGTGGCAGGGGACCACTACCACTGAGCTAAGACTTGACCAACTACACCAAGTGAGTCTGACACCACGACTCAACCAAAAAACCTTAAGGCATTAAGTTCATGGGCTCATTTACTTATATACACATCCCTTAGCCCATTACCGACCAATATGGGACTCATCACACTTGAATATCTCAACAATCTCTCCCTCAAGTGTGAAACCCAACATTGATATACTCCCCCTCAACCGAGTATCCCAGGGCTCAAGTACTCAACCCGCCTCCTAGCCAAAATACTCAGGCTAGCTCGAGCTCAATCCGGCTCTGATACCACTGTCAGGAGGGTCCAGGGGAAGCCCGTGGTGGGAGACCCCCACCAATGGGCTAACTTGACCAACTACACCAAGTGAGTCCGACACCACGTCCCAACCCAAAACCTTAAGGCATTATGTTCATGGGCTCATTTACTTATATACACTTCTCTTAGCCCATTACCAACCAATGCGGGACTCATCACACTTGAATATCTCCACAATCTCCCCCTCAAGTGTGAAACCCAACATTGATATACTCCCCCTCAACCGTCAGGCTAGCTCGAGCCCAACCTGGCTCTGATACCATTGTCAGGAAGGTCCAAGGGAAGTCCGTGGTGGGAGACCACCACCAATGGGCTAAAACTTGACCAACTACACCAAGTGAGTCCGACATCCCGTCTCAACCCAAAACCTTAAGGCATTAGGTTCATGGGCTCATTTACGTATATACACTTCCCTTAGCCCATTACCAACAAATGGGAGACTCATCACACTTGAATATCTCAACAATCTCCCCCTCAAGTGTGAAATCCAACATTGATATACTCCCCCTCAACCGAGTACCCCAGGGCTCAAGTACTCAACCTGCCTCCTAGCCAAAATATTCAGGCTAGCTCGAGCCCAACCCGGCTCTGATACCATTGTCATGAGGGTCCAGGGAAGCCCGTGGTGGGAGACCACCACCAATGGGCTAAAACTTAACCAACTACATCAAGTGAGTCCGACACCACGTCTCAACCAAAAATCTTAAGGCATTAGGTTCATGGGCTCATTTACTTATATACACTTCCTTTAGCCCATTACCGACCAACGTGGGACTCATCACACTTGAATATCTCAACAATCTCCCCCTCAAGTGTGAAACCCAACATTGATATACTCCCTCTCAACCGAGTACCCCAGGGCTCAAGTACTCAACCCGCCTCCTAGCCAAAATATTCAGGCTAGCTCGAGCCTAACCCGGCTCTGATACCACTGTCAGGAGGGTCCAGGGGAAGCCCGTGGTGGGAGACCACCACCAATGGGCTAAAACTTGACCAACTACACCAAGTGAGTCTGACACCACGTTTCAACCCAAAATCTTAAGGCATTATGTTCATGGGCTTATTTACTTATATACACTTCCCTTAGTCCATTACCAATCAATGTGGGACTCATCACAGTTGAATATCTCAACAATCTCCCCCTTAAGTGTGAAACCCAATATTGATATACTCCCCTTCAACCGTCAGGCTAGCTCGAGCCCAACTCCCTCAAGTGTGAAAGTTCCATACTCTCTGGAGCTATTGATCCCCCTCCCTGATTTATATACTTTTCACCTCTAATATAACATTATTTAATGGTTGATCTCTAATTTTATCACTTATAACTGTTCTTTCCTTTTTTTTGCGACTACTAAATGTTAAGAACATACATTTGATGAGAACATAAAATCATCCAAGCTTCTATTCACACTACCGACTAGGGGTGTTCATCAACTGATCCAAACTGATTCAAACCGCGGTGACCGAACCGAAAAATCGATAACCGAATAAACCGAAAACCGAAAAATCGAAAACCGAAAAAAAAATCGCAAATTTTAATTGGATTGGATCGATTTTTGGATAGGTTGATGAAAACCGATCCAATCCAAACTGATCCAATATATTAATTCTCCTCTATCTACTTGAATTTTTCTCCAATCATAGCCCAAAAATTTCTAAACTCAAGACCCATTAGGTATCAACTAAATCAAAGAAAAAATCTCGTCACATCTCATCAACAAAATTTTATCTTTGTAGAGCTTCATATTTCATTGTCTAAAAAAAAAATTATATTATAGTTTACTAATGCTTTTGTATTTCAAAAAAAAAAATTACAAAGCCAATATATACAAAAGATAATATTTGCACAATAATCATAAAATAAATTTTATGTTTTTCAAAAAACCGAAAATCGATCAAATCCAAACCGAAAAAAATTGGATTTGATCGAATCGGATTTGAAAAAAAATCCAAACCGAATGGATGATTATATGATCAAACCGAAAAAATTGGATCGGATGATTTTTGCTTCCAAAACCGATCTAATCCAAACTACGAACACCCCTACTAAAGACTAGGGGTAAGGAATGAACTGCACCTTCGTCTATAACCACCGGTGAGTCGGTGACAAATTTAACGAAAATGGCGCCAATTCCTTCACAGAATTAAGTCTGGGATTTCGGTGTGTGCACCCTATGACATACTATTCTAAATGACATTGAAAAATTATATAGAAGAATGAAGTTTCTGAAATGGATTCCTTTCTCGCTGTGCCATTAGATTGTTGTTATGTGTAAAACTTTCAATCTATTCCTATATAATTTAGTAATTTACAACACAACCTGCACCAAGAAAATCAGGCTGATGCCATCTACACAGCATATATATTACAAAGAATGAAAGATTGTTTCCTGCTTGGGTAACACCGCAAGACCAAGAGACCTACTCAACTTTCCTTGGGCAATACAAGGCGGTCTTGGCCTTCAATAAGCTTTGCGGAACGAATAATATCTCCAGATTTTATCTGGGGGAGAATATCTCTCCCAGTGGTTACGTATCTGCATATTTTAATAGTATAAAAAACAATGGAGGAAAAATTAAACTCCAAATCGAATATGTAGGAGGGTATATGAACTAACAAGGCTTACCCAAAAACTGAAAATTGCCCTTCATCGAATGATATCCCTCCCAAGCCAGCCTAAAAAAGAGGAAAAGAATAAAAAGAATGCTGACAAGGCTTACATGAATGAAAATAAGAAATGAACGAATTCAGTTTGCAAAAGGAAATCACAGCCAAGCATAAAAATTCTGCTTCCAGCTATCACTCTTGTTCTGTATATTTTGTATAACAAAAGTCCAGCAAATTCTATGAACAAATAAATGTAAGGGATGTAGTGGGGACTTACGCTTCGTTTGTCATAGAGATAGAAAAAAAACTGATAAGGTGATGAATACTCCTCAGAGCCTTCATTATGAGCCATGGCAACTGCTCCATAAACAGATAGAGGAAGAACTGGCAGTTCTCCATCCTTCAACAAGACACATATATAACAAAATAAATAAGATCAGTATCATTAACTCTGTTGAGTCTGCTGTGAAATTTTGAATAGCATAAAACAAAAACATACCTGCACACTTAATGTTGTTTTGTAAAGGGGCTCAAATTGTCCAGAGGGCATTATTTCCAAGGGAACCCTGAAACCATTGTTCTTATCAAGTCCATTATCCGAGAGAATAGCTTGGTTGGTACAGTTGAGCTTTGTGCCATTATATGCTCCATCCATCACCTGAAGGATATGTGATTGTGTGAGTGCTGTTTCCACTAGGTTGTACAATCAAATAATCTAGATGTTTAAAACGCAAACACTTAAAAACAGGAACAGTAAGCATAATTAAAACTAGATAATCTATGGCCAATCGAACAACAGTGATATTCCAATTTCCAATGAATAGACAAGTTCAATCCATGAGAATTGCAGTAACATTTGCTCTATTCCACAGCTGAAACCCCCTACTTCCTTATTTTTATCTTCCCTTATAGTAGCTTCAGCTTCACATTAAAACCGTTATTAAAAGCTGTGCACTGCCACTCTTTCATCCCTATTTAAACTATCAACCCAATAAGCCAAAACAATATAAAATTGAAAAACTTGAGAAACTCTTAATTATTTTTCTCAAGAAAAAGACTAGTTGCCTGCATTATTTACTATGATAGTATGAAAAATTCAAGAGAAATTGGAAGTAATGTTTGAGACAATAGCCATAGATCATAAGATTTCAAGTAAAAAATTGAACATTATTAGTCCACTCAGAGAACTTAGGAACTCTGACAGAATGTGGACGAAGAGTCAGAAGTGATGAAAATCAAGAGTGGTATACATAAGGGCTATAGCCATTAGTAAAATTCACAAGGTTAAAGAACTGTTCCGCTACCTTACCAGTTTTGCAAAATTCCCTGCAGTTAATGGAGCTGAGTATCCATCTAAAACAACCTGAAAACAAAGGTTAAGTATCAGCAAATTTTAATATACTGTTGTTGTAAATAGTGTCATAGAAGTCCCTCATTGTGTATATGTCTTTGTATTTCTTATATGGTTTAATATATAAATGAAATATCCTTCGTGTAGTTGACACAAGGATTACAGTCAATGCCTCTTGTATCTTGATATTTAACATGGTATCAGAGCTTGAGTGACTACAAGGTCACAAGTTTAATTCTCACCGCCCCCACTTTAAAGTGGAATTAAAATAAAAGCACAAAAGGTAAACCAAAAATTGGGCCTGTGCAATATCCACACCTCTAGCTCAATGGGCTCTTGCGAGAAGGGGTGTGTTAGGGAATAATATAAATCACTAAAAAGGCCATCACCCAACACCTTAAGGTTTTGGGTTGAAGTGGTTCTTTACATGGTATCAGAGCCTCGGTGTACCGAGTTCGATCCTCACCGCCCCCCACTTTCTTTCTAGTAGAATTTCTTTATTCGCACAGATAGGTGGGATGTTACTTTGTTGATAAGTTTTGTCCATAATCTCAGTCCTGGCCTTGATACGTTATCTGCTAAGTCACATAAATGTATTTTCCTGGGTTACCCTCGGTCACAAAAGGGTTATCGTTGTTACTCTCCCAGTCTAAATCGTTACTTTGTCTCGGCGGATGTTACTTTCTTTGAGTGTATCCCATTCTTTGACTCCTCCTTTCCCAGTGACTCTATTGCTACTCAGCTACCTATACCCCCTGTTTCAGTTCAATATATCCCTTCACCACCTCCTTCTTTAGATGTCCACGCCCCTAACCCCGCCCCTGTCCCCGCCCCTATTCCCCCCTCCAGGTTTATCATCGTCGGCAACGTCCGCCTGTTCCCCAGGACCCTGCCCCCCAGGACCCTACCCCTATTGTTACTGAGGCTCCCGTGGACTCACTTCCGTCATCATCTCCTCAAGTACATCAAGACTGCTCCTGGAAAAGGTCTTCTCTATGAAAACAAAGGTCATACCAGAGTTGTGGGATACTCAGATGCTGATTGGGCAGGTTCTCCCATTGATAGAAGATCCACCTATGAGTATTGTGTATTCGTTGGATATGACTTGATTTCCTGGAGAAGTAAGAAACAAAGTGTAGTTGCTAGATCAAGTGCTGAAGCAGAATTTCGCTCCATGCCACAGCTACCTGTGAACTCATCTGATTAAAACAACTACTGCAGGAACTCAAGTTTGGAGACACTGGCCCAGCATCTCACATTTGTAATACTCAAGCTGCTTTGCATATTGCTTCAAATCCAGTGTTTCATGAAAGGACTAAGCACATTGAGATAGATTGTCATTTCCTTAGAGAAAAGGTTCTCTCAGAAGATATAGTCACTCGTTTTGTCAACTCAAATGATCAATTAGCCGATGTATTCACTAAGTCTTTGAGAGGACCTAGGATAGATCAGATATATTAGCTTGGTGCATACGATCTATATGCTCCAGCTTGAGGGGGAGTGTTGTTGTTAATAGTGTCATAGAAGTCCCACATTGTGTACATGTCTTTGTATTTCTTATATGGTTTAATATATAAATGAAATCTCCTTCGTGTAGTTGGCAGAAGGATTACAGTCAATGCCTCTTGTATCTTGATATTTAACATAGTATCAGAGCTTGAGTGACTACAAGGTCACAAGATCAATCATCACCGCCATCCACTTTAAAGTGAAATTAAAATAAAAGCACAAAATGTAAACCAAAAATTGGGCCTGTGCAATATCCACGCTTCTAGCCCAATGGGCTCTTCCGTGAAGGGGTGTGTTAGGGAATAATATAAATCATTATAAAGGCCATCACCCAACACATTAAGGTTTTGGGTTAAAGTGGTTCTTTACATGGTATGAGAGCCTCGGTGTACCGGGTTCGATCCTCACCAACCTCCACTTTCTTTCTAGTGAAATTTCTTTATTCGCACAGGTAGGTGGGATGTTACTTTGTTGATAAGTTTTGTGCATAATCTCAGTCCTGGTCTTGATAAATTATCTGCTAAGTCACATAAATGTATTTTCCTGGGTTACCCTCGGACACAAAAGGGCTATCGTTGTTACTTTCCCAGTCGTCGTCGTTACTTTGTCTCGGCAGACGTTACTTTCTTTGAGTCTATCCCATTCTTTGACTCCTCCTCCTTCCCCAGTGACTCTGTTGCTACTCAGCTACCTATACCCCCTGTTTCAGTTCAATATATCCCTTCACCACCTTCTTCTTTAGATGTCCCCGCCCCTGTTCCCCCCTCCAGGTTTATCATTGTCGGCAACGTCCACCTGTTCCCCAGGACCCTGCCACTATTGTTACTGAGTCTCCTGTGGACTCACTTCCGTCATCATCTCCTCAAGTACATCAAGACTGCTCCTGGCAAAGGTCTTCTCTATGAAAACAAAGGTCATACCAGAGTTGTGGGATACTCAGATGCTGATTGGGAAAGTTCTCCCATTGATAGAAGATCCACCTATGGGTATTGTGTATTCGTTGGAGATAACTTGATTTCCTGGAGAAGTAAGAAACAAAGTGTGGTTGGTAGATCAAGTGCTGAAGAAGAATATCGCTCCATGCCACAGCTACCTGTGAACTCATCTGGTTAAAACAACTACTGAAGGAACTCAAGTTTGGAGACCCAGGCCCAGCATCTCACATTTGTGATGATCAAGCTGTTTTACATATTGCTTCAAATCCAGTGTTTCATGAAAGGACTAAGCACATTGAGATAAATTGTCATTTCCTTAGAGAAAAGGTTCTCTCATGAGATATAGTCACTCGTTTTGTCAACTCAAATGATCAATTAGCCGATGTATTCACTAAGTCTTTGAGAGGACCTAGGATAGATCAGATATGTAACAATCTTGTTGCATACGTTCTATATGCTCCAGCTTGAGGGGGAGTGTTGTTGTAAATAGTGTCATAGAAGTCCCACATTGTGTATATGTCTTTTTATTTCTTATATGGTTTAATATATAAATGAAATCTCCTTCGTGTAGTTGACACAAGGATTACAGTCAATGCCTCTTGTATCTTGATATTTAACATAGTATCAGAGCTTGAGTGACTACAAGGTTACAAGTTCAATCCTCACCGCCCCCCACTTTAAAGTGGAATTAAAAGAAAAGCACAAAAGGTAAACCAAAAATTGGGCCTGTACAATATCCACGCTTCTAGCCCAATGGGCTCTTGCGTGAAGGGGTGTGTTAAGGAATAATATAAATCATTAAAAAAGCCATCACCCAACACCTTAAGGTTTTGGGTTGAAGTGGTTCTTTACATGGTATCAGAGCCTCGGTGTACCGGGTTCGATCCTCACCGCCCCCCACTTTCTTTCCAGTGGAATTTCTTTATCCGCACAGGTAGGTGGGATGTTACATTGTTGATAAGTTTTGTCCATAATCTCAGTCCTGGTCTTGATAAGTTATCTGCTAAGCCACATAAATGTATTTTCCTGGGTTACCCTCGGTCACAAAAGGGTTATCGTTGTTACTCTCCCAGTCTAAATCGTTACTTTGTCTCGGCGGACGTTACTTTCTTTGAGTCTATCCCATTCTTTGACTCCTCCTTCTTTCCCAGTGACTCTGTTGCTACTCAGCTACCTATACCCCTTGTTTCAGTTCAATATATCCCTTCACCACCGCCTTCTTTAGATGTCCCCGCCCCTGTTCCCCCCTCCAGGTTTATCATCGTCGGCAACGTCCGCCTGTTTCCCAGGACCCTGCCCCTATTGTTACTGAGGCTCCTGTGGACTCACTTCCGTCATCATCTCCTCAAGTACATTAAGACTGCGCCTGACAAAGGTCTTCTCTATGAAAACAAAGGTTATACCAGAGTTGTGGGATACTAAGATGCTGATTGGGCAGGTTCTCCCATTGATAGAAGATCCACCTCTGGGTATTGTGTATTCGATGGAGATAACTTGATTTCCTGGAGAAGTAAGAAACATAGTGTAGTTGGTAGATCAAGTGCTGAAGCAGAATATCGCTCCATGCCACAGCTACCTGTGAACTCATCTGATTAATACAACTACTAAAGGAACTCAAGTTTGGAGACACTGGCCCAGCATCTCTCATTTGTGATAATCAAGCTGCTTTGCATATTGCTTCAAATCCAGTGTTTCATGAAAGGACTAAGCACATTGAGATAGATTGTCATTTCCTTAGAGAAAAGGTTCTCTCAGGAGATATAGTCACTCGTTTTGTCAACTCAAATGATCAATTAGCCGATGTATTCACTAAGTCTTTGAGAGGACCTAGGATAGATCAGATATGTAACAAGCTTGGTGCACACGATCTATATGCTCCAGCTTGAGGAGGAGTGTTGTTGTAAATAGTGTCATAGAAGTCCCACATTGTGTATATGTCTTTGTTTTGCTTATATGGTTTAATATAAAAATGAAATCTCCTTCGTGTAGTTGACACAAGGATTACAGTCAATGCCTCTTGTATCTTGATATTTAACATAGTATCAGAGCTTGAGTGACTACAAAGTCACAAGTTCAATCCTCAACGCCCCCCACTTTAAAGTGGAATTAAAATAAAAGCACAAAAGGTAAACCAAAAATTGGGCCTGTGCAATATCCACGCTTCTAGCCCAATGGGCTCTTGCGTGAAGAGGTGTGTTAGGGAATAATATAAATCATTAAAAAGGCCATCACCCAACACCTTTAGGTTTTGGGTTGAAGTGGTTCTTTACATGGTATCAGAGCCTCGGTGTACCGGGTTCGATCCTCACCGCTTCCCACTTTCTTTCAAGTGAAATTTCTTTATTCGCATAGGTAGGTGGGATGTTACTTAGTTGATAAGTTTTGTCATCTCAGTCCTGGTTTTGATAAATTATCTGCTAAGTCACATAAATGTATTTTCCTGGGTTACCCTCGGTCACAAAAGGGTTATCGTTGTTACTTTTCCAGTTTTCGTTGTTACTTTTTCTCGGCGGACGTTACTTTCTTTGAGTCTATCCCATTCTTTGACTCCTCCTCCTTTCTCAGTGA